TCTTCAATGCCTTGTTTCTTTTATCTGCCTGTACTGAATTGCTGATACTAAGTACTGTAACAATGTTGTTTTATGGTGTATCTCTTTTCCTTTTTTTATTTTTACTGTGCTGCTCTCCTTTAAGCAACTTACAACCTATGAGTAACTTACAGTCTGCTTGCAGTAATATTATGCTAGCCAAAAGGAAGAGTAAGCACCCCATGAAACTGTTCCCACTACATATAAATTTCTCCCACAGCTTCTCAATCTTCACCAAACACATTCCAGAAAAGCTGGGTCTTTAAAATCCATTGAAACAGTAGATCTTTTACATTTTTTTAAAAAAAAATTGTGGGACTAAAGATTCTCGAAGAATATAATAGTGTAATAGTGCCATACGTATATTATTTACCTTCCCCTTCAAATTCAAGTAGGGATGCCTCTATTATCCCACATCTCATGACCACATTGAGTGCAATCGTTATTAAACGGGATTAGAATGATTAAAATGCCAAAGTACAGTTGAGGGATGGCTTAAATTGAAAGCCTAATACATATATTAAACCATAAAACCGTATTTTCTAGCTCAGTGGCTAACTGCTGCAATTTAGAGCTGAAAGTAGCTATTATAGAGAAAACTAATTCTGCTGATAAGTTATTGGTTCATACTTTATCTCCTTGCATTCCTGTTTTATTGACTCTCGCTTCTAATAAAGTAGGCCATTAACTGGGATGATGAATGGAGACCATCACAAAAGTCCTGAGCAGTTTGGCTGGTGCTCCCTGTCTCACAATTGGGTAATGTTTAATTAAGAGTTGGAATCTTATGGGTATTTAAAACATTCTTAGAATATATATATATATATATATATCTCCTTGGAACAGAATTCTGTGCATTTACTGCAACATAAATTGTACTCTGATGAACTGGGCTTATCCCTGCAAAGTAGGCAGGAGCCAGTTGGTGGTTAGGGCACCAGATTAGAAAGTGGGAGACGGTGAGTTCTAGTCCAGTTTCAGTCATGAAGGCCAACTGGGTGGCTTTGGGCCAATCACCAAAAGGCAGCGAGTTCAAATCCCACTGTAGCTGTGAAAGCTGGCTGGGTGACTGAGTCAATCACCAGAAGGTGAGTTCTAGTGTGGTTGTAGCATGGGCTTAGCCATGAAATCCAGCTGGGTGTCTTTGGGCCAATCACCAGAAGATGGTGAGTTCGAATCTCACTGTAGCCGTGAAAGCCGGCTCGGTGACTTTGGGTCAATCACTAGAAGAAGGTGAGTTCGAATCCCACCATAGGCGTGAAAGCTGGCTGGGTGACTTTGGGTCAATCACTAGGAGAAGGTGAGTTCTAGTATGGGCTTAGCCGTGAAATCCAGCTGGGTGTCTTTGGGCCAATCAACAGAAGATGGTGAATTCAAATCCCACCTTAGCCATGAATTCCAGCTGAGTGACTTTGGGCCAGGCCCTCTTTCTCAGCCCAACCCATCTCACAGGGTGGGCAAAACAGGAGGAGGATGTGTTGGATATGTTTGTTGCCTTATGTTACTTGTAACAAAAAAACCAAAACAATAAAGGCGGGATACAAATAAATAAATGAAATGAAATAAAGAAGAACAATGTCCCAAAGTTTGAAAACAACCATAATCCATGCTGAACCTTTTGGAATGAACCATTTTAAATGAAGCATCTATTTTTTTTTAAAAAAAAAAAAAGTGAAGAAAAAAAAGATAACACGTCTCAATGGTTGAAAAACTTGTCAGTTTTTCTTAAGGCTGGGTGTTCCCTCTAGGCACTGGGCTTGGATTAAAGGAGTGTTTTGTTATTATCTTAGTGGTTGAAGGGCATGGTGTTTTCAGTGCAGGTGATACAATTTGCTGAAATAAATAAATAACAATCTGATTTTATGGTTTCTGTTTTCTGTTTTCCCTTTTTTTATGCTGCTTGAGATCTACCTTGGTGAGATAGACAGAGAGAAAAATTCTTTTATTTTTTTAAAATTTTTATTCTTAAACAAATAAACAGCCCTCGCTGTGCTTCTTTCTACAGTCTTTGGATATCTCACGGGTACTTAAATGAAAAACAATCGGACTGGAATCTTTCTCACGTCATATTTTTTCAAAGTCTCAATTGTCTAGTAGATGGGGAAGCCCTCATGTTGTGTCTGGGCATCAAGGCTGGCTGGAAAAGGTAGGCCTCACCTGCCTGGAGCCATAAGCTTATGCTTTGGATGGGGTTGCTCCCGGTTACAAGAACAGTTGAATGGTTAATACTAAAGGTTTGGTTTGTCTTTCTCAACTTTTCAGTTTGTCTTTCCAGTAATTGAGGAGCTGCCACAAAGAAGAGTAGGGGGTCAACTTATCTTCCAAAGCATCAGAAGGCCAGACTAGAAACAATGGATGGAAACTAATCAAGGAGAGAAGCAACCTGGAATTAAGGAGAAACTTCCTGGCAGTGAGGACAATTAACCAGTGGAACAGCTGCCTTCAGAAATGGTGGGTGATCCATCACTGGAGGTTTTTAAGAAGAGCCTGTACAGCCATTTGTCTGGAATGGTGTAGGATTTCCTGCTTGAGCAGGGAGTTGGACTAGATGACCTCCAAGGTCCTTTCTGGCTGGATTCTGATTCTGATTCAGCTTCTCCTGTCTGTGCTGCTTTTCATAGGCTGTCCTCCCTTTGCTGATTCCCAGTCTTCCAGTGAATGGTGTCAGACTCAAGCTTCACTCTGTGTGATTTCATAAATATCTCATCCGCCTCCTTTTCCTGGCCAAAAAAAGACATGAGGCTTAATGGGAAAAAAAGACTAAGAAACAAGGCTGGAAAACTGGGTTAGAGGCTCCGATGGGACTGGATTTCTGCATTTGGGTCTCTCTGGGATGCTTGGGGACATGGATGGAGATTGTGAGGCAGGTCTTGAGTTCGAGGTGTCCCCGTTTCCTTGTACTTTTGTCTCCAGTTGTTGGATATTTTTTTTTATTTAATGAAAACCTTTCAGAAACCGGTGGCAACAGACAGCCAATCTGGCATCCGGCCCCCTCTTTGAGGCCGGGGGAAAATTTATCCCAGGATAAACCTGGGCTTCCCTAAATTATGAGGCTGAAAGTCCCCGTGGCTTTTTTCTGCTTCGCTTCCTTTATCCAGCTCCCCCCCCCCCACGCCTTTCTGTTTCATTCCCAATCAGCGCCAGGGAGAGGATTAAGGGATTCTCTCTCTCCCTTCCTCTCCCCACCCCCCTTTCTTCCAATTCGGTGCCAGTTCTGCCAGCGACCCACTCATCCGGCCCGCTTCCTGGTGGGGGATCCGCTGGAAAGCGGGGAAACACCGCCAGCCGCGACCGCCTCCTGCCTGCCCGCTTTCGGCCCCGCCTCCTCCTCCTCCTCCTCGGCGGCCCGCGAAGCACCTGTTTCTGCAACTCAGCGCTGCCAATTGCTGGCTGGCTCGCCCTCGCTCCCTTTTGCCCGGAGAAACAACAGGGCCCTGGGCTCCGCGTGGAGACTTCAGGGGGGAGCAGGAGGAGGAGGGGGAGGAAGGAAGAGGAAGAAGAGGAAGAGGGAAGGGGGAGGAGGAAAAGGAAGAAGGGGAGGGGAGGAGGAAGAAGTGGGGAAGGAAGAGGAAGAAGAGGGGAGGAGGGAGAGGAAGAGGAGAAAGGGGGAGGGGAGGAGGAAGAAGAGGGGAAGAGGAAGAGGGGAGGGGGAGAAGGAATAGGAAGAAGAGGAGAAAGCGGGAGAGGGAGGAGGAAGAGGGGGAGGAAGAGGAAGAAGAGGGGGGAGGAAGAGGAAGAAGAGGAGAAAGGGGGAGGGGAGGAGGAAGAAGAGGAAGAGGGGGAGGAAGAGGAAGAAGAGGGGAGGAGGAAAAGGAAGAAGAGGAGAAAGGGAGGGGAGGAGGAGGAAGAGGGGGAGGAGGAAGAAGAGGAAGAGGGGGAGGAAGAGGAGAAAGGGGGAGAGGGAGGAGGAAGAAGAGGGGGAGGACGGAAGGGAGGAGGAAGAGGAGGAAAAAGAGGAGGGGGGGAACAGGGGGGGAAGCAGGAAGAGGAAAGGGAAGCAGGCACAGCCGAGCGCTAAAAAGCCCTACCGATTGCCCCCTCCCCCCCCCCTCCTCCCGGTGTCTGCTCGTATCCCCAGGCTGGCCGCTCCGATCCCGGCGATGCGCAGCGCGCGGGCGAGCCCCACATCCACGCCCGCAGAGCGAGGCCGGGCCTGAGTGACAGCCCGTGCGTCACCCTGCCCGCCAACCGGCAGGCCCGCGCGGGGTTCTGAGCCCTCCCCCTGCCCGCTCTGCGCGGCTCCCCCCGCCATCACCCCCCCCCTCGGCCCGCCGCAACCCCGAGCCTTAGCCTGCCAGAGCCCGGCCGGCCTTCCTCCTCCTCCTCCTCCTCCCGCCGCCGCCGGGGCCACCTGCGCAAGCGGCGCGTGCGGCCGACGGACCCTCCCGCTCGCAGCCTCAGCCCGGCCGAAGCAGCGGCGGCGGCGGCGCGTCCGTCTCCCCCTCCTCCGCCTCCCCGGAGGGAAACGAGGCAGCCGAGCCGAGGCGCGGCAAGCGCGGCGCCGGAGCCCCCTCGAGGCGGCGGCGGCGGCTGCCTTAGGCGAAGCGGCGGAAAGCAGCGCGGGCGCCGGTCCCCCCCCCTCGCCCCTTCGCTGCCTGCCTGGCTGACCAGAAGAGTCCGGCTGGGGAGGGGAAGCTACGGCGGGCGCGCTTCTCTCGGCTGGGAGGGGGCGAGGCAGGGCGGCCCCGCGGGCCTTTGGCCGCCGCCGCCTCCGCCGCCCCCGGGGCCACCTGCGTTAAGCGGCGCGTGCGGCCGACGGAGCCCCCCCCCGCCCTCAGCCCTGGACAGGCAGCCCGGCCGGAGCTGGGCGGTGGCGGCGCGTCCGTCTCCTCCTCCGCCCTCCTGAAGGGAAAACCATCACAATAACCAGAGCAATAAGGCAGCCTTAGGCGGAGCGGACGCCTGGCCGCCTCGCCCACTGACTGACTGACGGACGAGAGTCCGGCGGTTTTTTTGGGTTTTGGCTGCGGGGGGGGGATATACGGGATCTCTTGGCTGAGGGGGGGGCTCGGCGGTCGCGCTTTTGGGGCCCCTCCCCGTTTCTCTCGGGCGGGAGGGGCCGCTGGCGGGGAGAGAGAGCGCGTAGGGGAGGCAGGGACGCCTCGGGGCTGCTTCAGGCGAAGCGGCGGCGAGCGGCGTCCTCGCCCGCTGACCGACTGGACGGACTGACAAAGACGCCGGCTGAGGAGAGCGGCGGAGGCGGCGGCGGGGGGTGGGGGCACAGTCGCTCTTTTGGCCCCTCCCCGCTTCTGCCAGGTGGGCGGGGGGAGCCGAGGCAGGAGACTCTCCCAGGCGGCGGCGGCGGCGGCTGCTTGAGGCGAAGCGGCGGAGAGCAGCGCGCGCGCCGGTCCATCCTCGCCCGCGGACTGGACAGGACTGACTGAGGCGGGGGGGGGGAGAGAGAGAGAGACCCGCTCTGCGGGCCGGCTGAGGCGGGCGCGTCTCCTCGGCCCCTCCCCGTTTCCCCGGGGCGGGAGGGGGCGAGGCAGGACGCCGCGGCGGCGGCTGCCCTGGGCTGAGCGGCACCATGGCCGGGGACGGGCTGCGGGGCAGGGGCCGGCGGCGGCGGCGGCGGCAGCGGCGGCACCAGCGGCTTCTCCCCCCTGCCCGCTGCTAGCCATGGCCAATGGCAGCGGCGGCGGCGGCGGCGGCTCCAGCGGCTCCAGCTACTACGCGGGCGGCGGCAGCGGCAGCCTTAGGATGAGCAGCCCGGCCGGCGGCGGCGGCGGCGGCAGCAGCCTGAACGCGGCTTCGTCCTCGGCGCCCGCCCGCGCCTCCAACGCGCTCATCATCCCGCTCACCATGGAGGTGCCCTGCGACAGCGGGCAGCGCATGTGGTGGGCCTTCCTGGCTTCCTCCATGGTCACCTTCTTCGGGGGCCTCTTCATCATCCTGCTCTGGAGGACCCTCAAGTACCTGTGGACCGTCTGCTGCCACTGCGGGGCCAAGGAGAAGGTGAGGGCCCGAGCGGCAGCCACCCCCGCCCCGCCCCACGGGCTTCCCCCCCTCCCCCGTGGCCTTCGTCATGTCCCCGGCTCTTGCCCTCGGGGCGGCTCCCTCTGAACGGGACCCTAAGCGGGGAAAAGTTAAAATCCAACCTTAAGATCAAAGACACGTGCGGGAGGGGGGGCAGGGGGCGGGGGGGGTCCGTTATTAGTCGACCAAGCCCCTCCCAAATATTGGACCACCGATCGGAGTTACTAAGGGACTTAGTTAAAGCAAGCGAATGCGCTTAACTTTATTATTATTATTATTATTATTATTATTATTATTATTATTATTATTATCACTATCACTATCACTATCACTATCACTCATCATCATCATCATTATCATCATCATCATCATTATCACTATCACTATCACTCATTATCATTATTATTATCATTATGACTATCACATTATTATCATTGTCATTGTCATCATTATTGTCATTATATTATTATTATTGTTGTTGTTGTTGTTATCATCATCATCATCACTATCACTATCACTCATTATCATCATCATCATTATTATTATTATTATCATCATCATCATCATCATCACTATCACTATCACTATCATTACACTATCACTCATTATCATCATTATCATTGTCATTGTCATCATTATTGTCATCATCATCATCATTATTGTCATATTATTATTATTATTATTATTATTATTATTATTATTATTATTATTATTATTATTATTATTATTATTACGTTTCTTCCCATTGCATTTCATGGTATCTTGGAAATAGTTCATTTTCGGAGCCAGGAATCTATTTTAGTTTTTTTTTTTTTTAAATGTAATGTTGATGCTTCCAAAGGGAAAGAAAAGCATGTTACTGATCATCGTTTTTTTTTAAAAAAAATCATGTTTTTTTGTTGTTGTTTTTTTTAAATCACAATTGCTGTAAACCTTTTTAATTGCAACATGCCATCCGGGAAAGTAGACAAAAGTTTTAGACGGAAAGGTGAGGTGGCTTGGTTCTCTCCCCCCCCCCCCCGCCACCCGCCAGCTCTCCAAGTCTCCTTGACAAACTATTGGAGAATAACCAATCAGAGTTACTAAGGGGTTTCTACCCATTAATTAAACCAACCAACACACTTATATTTTTCTATAACGTTTCGTGATGCAGAAAAATAGAAGAGTTTAAGCATCTTGGAAATGCACTTTCATTGCTAGAAATCAAAAGGGAAACAAAAGCATGTTACTGCTAATCGCTTGTTTTTGTTTGTTTCTTTTAAAAACCACAATTGCTATAAACCTTTTATTTGCAATATGCTATCCTGGAAAGTAGACAGAAGTTTTATAAGGCTTGGTTCCCTGGCCAGCTCTCCAGTTCCCTTCCCAAACTACTGGTGATATAACCAATCAGAGTTACTAATGGACTTCTTATCCATTCCGCTTTTAGTGCCTTTATATTTTCTTGGGGCATCTTCCTGGGGGATTCTCTCCCCTCTTTTCAGGCAGAGTATAGCCCTGGGAGATAGGTTGGGGCTGAGTGCCTCATCATTCTGCGCTTGCTGGTGGAGAAGGATGGGGCAGAATTTGAAAGTGGGGTCACCAAACGGCAAGACCGAACCTGTTTCCCTTTTGCAGACAGGCGAGAAACTTGGAGATGGGACATATGTCCCAGCTTGTCACTTGGGATGACCCTGAACGCAGTTCAGCTTGGAAGGAAACATGGCTAGAGGGGCAGTTGCATAGCTGATCCTGAACATGCTAATATTTGGTCAAAAATAAGCTGGACCGAGAGGGAGGCTGGGCCATCTCCGTGTATATTTGGGCGTTGATAGTTTGAAGGATTCAACATGCCATGTCACCCAAAGTCAAAATCCTACTGAGTTCCGTGAAGCTTAGAATTATAGCTTTAGTCCCCAATAAAATGGACTGAGACAAAGTTTTCTTCTTGCTGATCATTTTTTCAGCTTCCCCCCCCCCAAATTACTGTGGTTCATCTCTTTTCTCCCTTCCATGGGATGCTGTTCTTCTTTTACTAGAAAAGTTTAAGCATTCTTTGGCACTGTATTAAGGAACAAATTTGTCTGCCTGAATTAAGCTGATTGTAGGTGACCCCCTGAAAGGAGCCTTACAACCATCTGTTCAATCACTCTTTTCCTTTCCTTGTTTGTCGCTGCCAATTTAAGGACACCGAGATCTTGAAAAGCCAGATTCCAAGGGACGTTGTGTGAAATGACAGTTGTGTAAGGACATAAATGTTGGGAGTGAGGAATAAGCACAGCGAATCTTCTGTCTTGTCCAACAGTGCCTTCCCCCATCTGCTGAAAACCCACAAACAGAAAGAAATACGGCTTCTAATAAATATTAGGACTCCCCAATTAATTTGGTTGGGTTTTTTTTTTTTTTTTTTTTTTTTTGCTTTTACCATGCCAAATCTTTCTTGTCCATGTATGGGTTCAGCTGTCTGGCAAAGTTTAAAATTTTGACCTGTCCGTGTCAAGTTTTACTTGATTTAGCCATTGCCAGCAACAGGTGAATGAATAACAAAATAATAAAATAAACAAATACTCTCAGCAACAACCCCTTTCCCCAATCAATACAGGCTCCAAATAAGGGTTTCCTAGTTCACTTAGACCACCATAGAATTAAAAGGGTTGAATATAATTTGGAAGGAAACGGAGAGGTGCAAATGCTACCATTTGCAACAGTTTCTAGGGCATGTGTGAAAGAGATACTTGAAAGATACAACGTACAAAAACAATCCCAGCTAGTATTTCAAACGTGGCCTGGGATTTCTCTCTCTTTAATATTTGGGTGTCCTTCAGGTGTAAAATTCAACTTGGTTCACTTTTCGCAGAAATGGTGAATTCTTCAGTTGATGAATTTATCTTCCTCATTCTGATCCAGTTCCCTTTTCATTCCAAAGAAGAATAAAAATCTTGTTTCCATTGATCAAGACTTCAGATTTGAAGCATTTGGAGGGATCTCTCTCTTTCCTGCCTCTAATCAGCTCCAGTTGAGACTTTGATTGTGGAAAGTTTTCAAAAGTGTTGGGAAAGCAAGCAATGTTTCGACTGACCAAAGTGTTGCGTTGATAAGTCTTGTTCAGGTGCCTGTTGAAAAGTGACAGGGAAAAGAGAAAAGGAAATAGACCACTGTGGAGGCCAACATTTTGAGCTTTTCAAGCTTCTTCTACGTTTCATCCACTCAATCCATAACCTTCATCTGGATTTGTAGTCTTCTGAAAATACTTCCTGGGCAGAATTAACATGAGGTGGCCTTCCAACAGAAGCCCCATGGAAGCAAAACAGGAAGGGTGTTGAGGACTTCGTTGGGATTTGGAATTTGAGCATCCGCATTAACTGACTTAAATTTTGAAGATGCTGACTCTTCGCATGCTTAATTTATCAGCCTGGTCATCACTTTCATTGGTGGTTATTATGGTGCATTTTATATCTGAAATACTGTCCAGTTCTTTCTTTCTTTCTTTCTTTCTTTCTTTCTTTCTTTCTTTCTTTCTTTCTTTCTTTCTTTCTTTCTCTCTCTCTCTCTCTCTCTTTCTTTCTTTCTTTCTTTCTTTCTTTCTTTTTCCGTCTTTTTTTCTTTCTTTCTTCCTTCCTTCCTTCTTTCCTTCTTTCCTTCCTTCCTTCCGTCTTTCTTTCTTTCTTCCTTCCTTCCTTCCTTCCTTCCTTCCTTCCTTCCTTCCTTCCTTCCTTTCTTTCTTTCTTTCTTTCTTTCTTTCTTTTTGCAATATTTTAAAAAGGAACCAGAAGAGTTAGGGAAAGATCAGGAAAATGCAGCTGGAATGATGAGGGGGTTTGAAGGCTGGAATGCCTGGGGCTCTTTAATTTTTAGAGGACAATTGAGAGAGGATATAATTCCAGGTATTCCTCAATATAGGACCACAATGGAAAGCCCAACATTTCTGTTGTTAAGTGAGACATTTGTTAAGTGAGTCTTGCCCCATTTTACGACGTTTCTTGCCTCAATTGTTTAAGGGAATCCCTGAAATTGTTAAGTTAGTAATCTGGTTGTAAAGTGAACCTGGCTCCCCCCCCCCTTGACTTTGATTGTCAGAAAGTCACCAAAGGGGAGCACGTGAACCACCAGGACACTGCAAACCATCATAAATATGAGCCTCTGAATCTAGATCACGTGTCCATGGGGATGCTGCAACGGTTGTGAGAGTGCAAAATGGTCTATTCTGTTCTGCTCTGCTCTGCTCTATTCTATTTTCTATTCTATTCTATTCTATTTTCTATTCTATTTTCTATTCTATTTTCTATTCTATTCTATTCTACTCTATTCTATTTTCTGTTCTATTTTCTGTTCTATTTTCTATTCTATTCTATTTTCTATTCTATTCTATTTTCTATTCTATTCTATTCTATTTTCTATTCTATTCTATTTTCTTTTCTATTCTATTCTATTCTATTCTATTCTATTCTATTTTCTATTCTATTCTATTCTATTCTATTTTTCTATTCTATTCTATTCTTCAATCCTTTATTTTAATTCTAACTCTAACTCTAACTCTTACTCTAACTCTAATTCTAACTCTAATTCTAATTCTAATTCTAATTCCAATCCTATCCTATCCTATCCTATCCTATCCTATCCTATCCTATCCTATCCTATCCTATCCTATCCTATCCTATCAACTTACAAATAGTTGAAGTGTATCACTTCTGGTTTAGTTAAAAAAAAGTATAGAAACAAATGTTTGGGCTGTGTTTCTTGTTTTCCCAGAAAGATGTAACTGGGATGATCCTTGAAAAAGAAAGCATAACTTGTTTCTTAAGATACTCAGTTGCTGGGTTTCTGTTGGTTTTGCTGATCATGTTCCTTAGCCATTGACTATACTCTTCAAATGGTTCCTGAATTCTGGCATCTATTTTGCTTAGAGAGCAGGTGTGCACATTTAAGATCGCTGCTTGGGGTGTGAAATGAACCTTTTGTTCGTGACTGCTTGTTAAGGATTAACCTGGATGTGTCACTGC